ATACAGCTCCCTTCCTAAACATTAGGATCTCTCTTTTAGAGCAGTCAGCCTTTGAACATATACCAAGAACTGGGAAAGAATTCCAGTAATTCACAAAAAGGTTTCAAATGCTAAAAATGTTTCAAATGCTGCTTGGCAGTGATGTCATTTTCCTTCTCTTTCCAGTGAGTGTTGCAGAGAGCTGCTGGACACAGTGGATAACTATGCCGTCCTCCAGCTGGATATAGTGTGGTGTTACTTCCGCCTGGAACAACTGGAATGCCTTGATGATGCAGAAAAGAAATTAAACTTGGCCCAGAAATGCTTTAAAAATTGTTATGGAGAAAATCATCAGAGACTGGTCCACATAAAAGTATGTTCCTGGAATTCATTTTATGTCTTGTTGAGTCCATTTCTAGCATTTGTGTTTATTCCTGTTAAAGTATTTGAACTACTGCCAGAAGGTGATTTCATTTTGATAGTAGTATATGCAGTATACTCTTGTTAACCTATATATTTATAAAGTGTTCCATGTTTTACAAATCTGGCTGTCTCTTTTAGTGTGTGAGCATTTAGCCCAAAGGAACACAGTTTGCTAGTCATAGAACCCCACCAGTGATCACCCTGACCAGGAGAGAGCTGCTGACTTCTTTATATGGGTAGAGTCTAATTTGCAAGATGTGAATGCAGAAAATAGACATTCAGCAGTAACAGTTAGAGGGAATGAGTCCCAGCTCAAGAGCTCTGGCTCGAGTAAGGATTGTTCTGATTTCCGCAAGTCATCACGATCCTGCTGATGTAGATTCTCTTATACCTGGTTTGGATTTCTGCATACTTCTCTGCTGACCAGGAGGGCCACTGTGCTGCACGTCTGGAGTGCTGCACGTCTGGAGCGCTGCACGTCTGGAGCGCTGCGTGTCTGGAGCGCGGCGTGTCTGGAGCGCCGCGTGTCTGGAGCGCCGCGTGTCTGGAGCGCCGCGTGTCTGGAGCGCTGCGTGTCTGGAGTGCTGCGTGTCTGGAGGAATGTCGTCGTACCACAAGGGATGGGGAAGAAGGGGCTTCACTTTTGCCATCAGTCATAGTGAAGCCATGGACGTTTTAATACTACCATGTTGCCCCTCTGGAGACCAAGGGAATTACAGATATGAGTATTATACACCTGTAATTAGAAATAAGGCAACTTTGTCCTTTTTTTCTTCAATAATTTTAGGGAAATTGTGGGAAAGAGAAAGTACTGTTTCTAAGACTCTACTTACTTCAAGGTATCCGAAACTATCACAGTGGAAATGATGTAGAGGCTTGTGAGTATCTTAACAAGGTAAGAAAAGTAAAGTTGTAACCGTTTTCACCTCCTTTTAAAAAACACTCGCGGAAGTTAAGGATTTTAACTTAGTAGTTTGTGACTTGTGAGAAACATGCCTGCGCTTTCTCCGTGCACAGGAGATGTTGAACCAGAAACATATTTGTATTTGTTAGAGTACAGCCAGATGCTGTAATAAGGAGACTTCAAAAAGACAGTGACTTTAATTGGATAGAAGTTTATGGCTCACTCATCTTGCAGTCTGGAGGTGAGCGGGGCCAAAGCAGTGAGCAGCCCGCCAGCCTCAGCGAGGCGTCCCAGGTTGCTCCTGTCAGTGCCTCTTTCAGCCAGCAGAGGGGGCAAGAGAGCGTCCAGAGCAGGCCACTTGAGCGATGGCCCAGCAGCTGCACCCAGCGCTGTGGCTGCATGCCATTGACCTCGACTTCACCACCTGGCTACACCCAGCTGCACGGGAGGCTGAGAAATGCCACGTGTACAGCTCAAATTCAGGGGCTTTTGTTGCCACAAAAAAAGTGGATACCAGTCACTTCCACAACAGCCAGCCTCTTTCCTGGTGTGCTGAGGCTGTGTAATGTGAGTAGAGATGGTGTTGGTCTCTTTCCATTTGTACTTGTTAATAACAGGCCTAGTTTAGAGATTTTATCCAAAATCTGATGCCCTTTAATTCACATTGGGCACAATCTAATTTCTTTTAGGCTTTAACTTTGTATTAAGCTTTAAGTATTGCCATGGTTACATGATTCTTACATTTCTCCCTGTCTCTAGGCACGTCAGCTCTTGAAAGAGCTATATATCGATCCATCAAAAGTGGACAATTTGTTGCAGTTGGGATTTACTGCCCAGGAAGCCCGGCTTGGCCTGAGGGCGTGTGATGGGAACGTGGATCATGCGGCCACTCATATTACCAACCGCAGAGAGGTACCCACTTTCACAATGCCCTAGCTCTCTTGGGTATGAAAGAACAAAAAAAGATAGTCTCACAGGAGGTGTTAATAACAAGGAACTCTTCATTACTCCAGATTGGGAAGGAAGGAGAAACTTTTTTTTTTTGAGATAGAGTCTCACTTTGTCGTCCAGGCTGGAGTGCAGTGGCACGATCTTGGCTCACTGCAATCTCCCCCTCCCGGGTTCAAGCAATTCTCGTGCCTCAGCCTCCTGAGTAGCTGGGATTACAGGTGCCCGCCACCACACCCAGCTAATTTTTGTATTTTTAGTAGAGACGGGTTTCACCATGTTGGCCAGGCTGGTCTCAAACTCCTGACCTCAAGTGATGAGCTCACCTCAGTTTCCCAAAGTCCTGGGATTATAGGCGTCAGCCACTGTGCCTGGCTGAAACTTGTCTTTTTCAATTGGATCATTTTTCACATGCTGCAGTTTCCTTAGTTTTGTTTCCTGCTGTGGTGGCAAACAGTCCCCTTTCTCTCTTTAACTCTCTTTCTGGAAGTCATTTTAAAAACAGAAAATTGTTTTTTCATGAGGTCTTTATTAAAGTTGGGGATTGCATCCTTGCCTAGAAACATAAGTCAAATTATAGAAACAAATTGTATTATATTATGAAAGCACAGGTTAAAAAACTATAATCATTTGAAACAATTAAGTACATTAAAGAAAACCTTAGGATTTTGGAGTTGGAGGGATCCTTATTCTATCCAGTATGTCCTGCAGTAAAATAACAGGCCTAGAGGGAGATCATGGTGGAATATTAGCAGGAGAACCATTTTTCTTCTTTTGCCAAAACAAGAAGTTGGTACTAGATTATCTCACAGGCCCTTTCTAGCTGTAAACTCCAGCCACAGAAGTCTCTAGAATCCTCAAATGTATGTTACCTCGTTTCCCTTTTTGCTAAACACTAGGATAATCCCGAAGGATAAAAGCAGCCTCGGGGTATTAGGATGGGAGCAGGAAAGCCCCGTGGTTGTTTGCCCACATGATGCCAGAGAGGGAGTGGATTCGTGGGTTGATGCCATAGTGAGCAGTCCCAGGGCTGCTTGGGTTTCTCCTTTTACAACACCAACTGTGGTCGTTACCTCTCTCTCGCCTAGTCCAATCGTGGTCCTTTGGGTCTTGCTATAGAAGTCAATGAGTAGGTAAAGGCAGAGACTTTGAAAAGCTGAGTTCTTTTTTGTTTTTTTTCCAAGACAGTATCACTCTGTCACCCAGGCTGGAGTGCAGTGGCGTGATCACTGCAACCTCCGCCTCCCAGGTTCAAGTGATTCTTCTGCCTTAGCCTCCTGAGTAGTTGGGATTATAGGTGCCCACCACCATGCCCAGCTTTACTTTTTGTATTTTTAGTAGAGATGGGGTTTCACCATTTTGGCCAGGCTTGTCTCGAACTCCTGACCTCAAGTGATCTGCCTGCCTTGGCCTCCCAAAGTGCTGGGATTACAGGTGTGAGCCACTGTGATGGGCTGAAAGGTTGAGTTCTGTGTGTTTGAGTTTTACATGGTCTAATTAAGTACTAACAGAAAAACAAACATTGCTGATACTGATTTGTTGCTTTACTATTGCTCCACTACCAGTAAGATTTTATTAGCATCTGGAAAGCTAGTGTTTTAAAATGAGATCATTTGGAAAACAATTCTCATCAGTGTATGAGACTATAGTTCATAAAACATTGTCACACTCATGTCATTCACTTCTGCCTGTGACCACCCGAGAGGCCATAGGACAGATACTTCTCATCTTACACATGGGAAGAGCTGTAGCTCAGAGGCGGTCTTTTAAAGCATAGTGGAATCACATCACTTGTACATTTCTGAAGTTAAAAGCCCTTGGAGAAAATGCAAATAAAAAACAACAGTGTGTATAGTGCAGTTGATCGTGCTCCCTCTTCCACCCCAATGGGTGTTATTGGTTAGGATGCTTTTGGCTGAAAGCAACAACAACAACAAAAAACCAAAATTGCCTAAACATCAAAAAAAGGGATGTGACGGGATTTATTGGCCTGTTTACTTGTAAAAAGTCCAGAAGTAGGATGGGTCTTAGGGTTAGGTGATTCAGTGGCTTACTGATGTCACTGAGGACCTGAGGTCTCTCTCTCTACCCCACCCCCCACCCTGTGTCATCAGTGTCATCCAATCATACCAAAGGCCATAATCCCTGTCCCAGAATCCTCAGGGAAAATCCTGAGCTTCTTGTGATTGGGAAGCCTTGAACCTGTTGTCACTGAGGCTGGAGGAATGCCAAGACTGGCTCAGGCCTGTGGCAAGAGATAGAGGGTCGCCACCTTAGCCCGTTCAGGGGCCACCTGGGGAGCTGGAGCAGCCTCCCACACCTCAGGGAGGGGTAGAATGGGTGCTGGAAAGACAAAAACAATGTCCCACAGAAAGTGGGCTCCTATCGGAGCTTTAGATGAGCGAGAGAAAGCTGCTGCCCACGGAGTTCCAACATTCTAGGTGTGGGCATCTCACTGAGCTGAATGTAAATTCTTTGTTTTTGTTTGGGACAGAGTCTTGCTCTGTTGTCCAGGCTGGAGTGCAGTGGCATGATCATGGCTCACTGCAACCTTGATCTCCTGGGCTCCACTGATCCTCCTGCCAAGAGCTCTTGGCTGATTTTTGTTTGTATTTTTTGTAGAAATGGGGTCTCACCATGTTGCCCAGGTCGGTCTCAAACTTCTGGGTTCAAGCAGTCCTCCCACCTTGGCCTCCCAATGTGCTGGGATTACAGGTGTGAGCCACTGCACCCAGCCTTTAATACATAATTTTTAAAGTTTATATTTTTTGTGCAACATGGCCCTGAGTACAGACCAGTTTCTCATCTGGCAAAAAGCAACAGCTGTAGAAACAGAGATCACAGATCATGCTTCAGTATGGCCAGACTATGAGAGGCAGCCTTCCTAAGAGGTTGTCCCAGCTGCTTGTGACCATACAATGTCTCTCTCTTGAAATCTGATTCTACTTAACTGTAGCCACTTCAGTGCAGTACTGTCATTGATTGATCTACTTTATCTTTCTAACTCATCTTAGTATAAAGAGAAATATATCAGAAAATAATTTTCTCACGTGTGTTTACATGATTAAAAGGAAACAGACTAAGACATTTGTAATGAAAGGAAGTGTTCTTCGAAGCTCCCAGTTGATGTGAGGTCTGTGTTAGGTAATGCCCAGGTCTGCTGGCTGGCAGCGTCCTTCTCTGTGCTTGGATGTTAGGCATGCTTCATAGCCTTTTGGAATATAAATGGAAGAAACTGTATTGAAAGCAGAGGATGGGACCAGTAAAGGCATTTTATGTGGAGTGTAAGTGTGAATAAAAGTGCAAATGTGAGTGGCATGAAAGGCTCCTGCTGGCGTGCGTGGTTGGGTTGTGTGGCAGGATAAGGTCAGTTTGGAAGCGCTGTTGGGGCTAGGGAGTGGGAGCCCTGAGTAGCATAATAAGGAGCTGGTGCCTCAGTGTGGGGAGGTGGTCGGGAGCTGCTGTGGGCTTTTAGGTAGGTGACTGGAATGACGGAGCCCACTGCGCTGTGCAGTGGGGCTGGAGCTGGGGGAGACTGGCCGCTGAGAGGTAGAGCACGTAATGGGGGCATGAGACAGGCCTGGTGCAGCTGGATTCTCGGGGTGCAGAGAGGCACCCATGTACACCAACTAGGGGAGGTTCTCCTGTGATAGAGACAGGCCATGAGTGTACAGGTATCTTCATCCCTGGAGATGTTTCCAGCAGCCACTCTGCTCTGCCTGCTCCTACCGTGGCACTGTGGAGTCTGGTTCCATGATGATGGTGCTTTTGTTTTCCTGAGATGAGGCCACTTTCTTGCTGTGGGGAAAACGCAGGGAGGCGCCTGTTGCCTGGGCTGGGTGGGAGGCAGGAGCAGGTCTCTGGAAGGAGGGGAGTCTGTTTTCTCCCCCGTCCTCACTGCTGCTGATGGTGGAGCTGGTCTCCCTGGGAGAATGTGGCAGTCACTTAGCTTTGTTGAAAGCTTTCTGTCTCCTTGTTGGGAAAATAATGAGGTTGGATTAAATTCCTGGTTTTCAAACTTGCTTTGTTGTTGTTTTTAAGCAGCAAAATCCCCTTTTTAAGTGACATGTTTATGGGCATACTAGTTTACAAAATAAGTTGGGAACCCTCCTGATTGGCCCTGGGTGGGAGAGGCGAAGAGACTAGAACCTTATGCAGCCGCCTTGTGCTCCTGCAGCAATGGCAGGCAACTCTGAGAAACAGGGTTGAGAACCAAGAGGTTAGATGACCTTTGTCCCTTGGGCATTCTGTGGGTTCTGAATGGAATGACAGGCCTCAGAAGGCCCTGGAGTCCTTGCTCCCCAAGCTGTGGTGGGTGGGTCATCAACCATGGCATTGCCCAGGAGCCCCCTGACTCCATATCACATTTGAACTTGAGTCCCTGGGCGATTCATCAAAGGCTGGAAGGCCTTCCCACCACATGCAGAAAGCTCTTCTGCCCAGTTGCTAGAAGAGAATCCATGCACCTCACGCCTGCGACCTCTGCAGTGGGAGCGCGCTGGGCTGGGCGAGTGGCCCATCCTGATGCCGGATGGCAGGGCTCATGAGGCACCTCCTTTCTGCCCCACAGGCGTCTCACTTCCACTGCCTGCCCTCAGAAGCAGCACTTCCACCACCCCTCTGCCTCTGTGGCACCTCTGCCATTTGGCTGGGTGAAAAGAGGTAGACAGAGGTCCTGCTGTGCTTTGCTTTGGTTTTTTGGCTTTGCCTGGAAACCCCGAGAATCCTGCAGAGTGTAGACTGAGATGCTGTGAAATCTCAGTCCCTAACTTGGGATGGGACTTTGCTGTTTTCCTAAAGGAATTGGCCCAAATAAGGAAGGAGGAAAAAGAGAAGAAAAGACGCCGCCTCGAGAACATCAGGTCTCTGAAAGGGATGGGCTACTCCACGCACGCAGCCCAGCAGGCGCTCCACGCAGCCAGCGGGAACCTGGACGAGGCCCTGAAGGTAGCCGCTCCCTCGGGGCCTCTGGCCTTGTCCTTGAGCAGTGGGTCCTGCCCAGAGCTCCCTCCATGGCTCTCGGGCGTCCTCCCAGGCTCACTCCTATGGGCTGGCCCGTCATCAGATCTGAAGGGCAGCTTTTTCCTGGGCTCCAGCCCCAACAGAGGCCATGTGAGGCCCCATGAGGCCCCATGCTCAGTGCCTGGCCCAGGCCTGGCTCCAGAACACGGTGCCTGTCCACACCAGCGGAGTCCACAGGCCAGGACTTGATGTAGGGTTTGTGTGTGCAGCAGAGTGTAGTGTAAACAGGCCGTTTCCACAGCAGAAAAAGAGAATGGTAATTCAACTTGCAGTATAATTGTTTGGCATTAAAATTTTAACTAAGTATCTAGTTTTATTTATTTAGTCCATAGTACATGTTGGCAAAGGGGAAGCTTCTCAAAGAACCCCTCAGGAGTGACAGCAGGTTGGGATCCAGACAGCAGTGACTTTACCTGGGCCGCTTCCTTCCCTGTGTTGGAGAAGCAGATGGAATCCTCAGTAGGGCAGGTGCTGTGCTGCGTCTCGGCAGCTTGGTATGGAAGCGCCCTCTGCCCTCAGCCCCACAGCTCAGTGAGAGACAAACTCAGAGCACGCGTGGTAGGGAGTCCCCAGGGGTGCACGGGAGGCAGGGGGCTGGCTGCGTGGAGGCAGCAGTCCAGGCAGATGCTGGGGCAGCATGGCAGGCAGGAGCTAGCTTAGGTTGTGTGCATGCTGGGGGCGGGGCTGGGGGCAAGATGGGGGTGGAGGCAGGTGGAGGGCAGGGCAGGTGTACTCGTTTGCCCTGCTGAGGTGGGTGTGGGTGCAGCAGGCACGGGGGTCCACCCTGCCTTTGTCTCTTATCCCTGCCCTGTTCCCTGGAAGGCTCCACAAGTCAGTACTTCTGTTATGATGTATATGTATATTTAATGTATACGTTAAATTTTAAAATTGTATTTGAATATCTACTTTGATTTTTTTGTGTTGGAGAAATATGAAGAGGTGGGAAATTCTGAACATCCGAAGGGACTGATGGGTCTCGAAGTAGATTGGAATTATAGGAGTAGCACATAAATACCTCCAGTCAACACAGAAGTACTGAGTGTTGGAAAGGAAAGTCTCCACAGAGTCTTTTAAGATTAAGTATTGTGTGACGAAGAAACCAAGGGTCAAAATAACTCTACTACCTGCCTGATATTTTAAGTCTAGAGGACATGACACTTTCAAAGATCAATCAGGCAGCCCTGAGCTGCTTAAGAGACCTTTCTGTCTGTGGCTCTGACGAACCCTGTTTGCTTGGATGCGCTTCCGCCTGCTCTCGTCCCTTCCTGCTCTGTCAGAAGGGATCTTTCCCCTGACTAGTCTTGCTCCTTCAAACCCCAACTGTCCCGGTCTCTGGCTAGAAGCCTTCTGGGCACATCAGCCTGGGCGGGAGCCCCTTTCCCTGCCTCATAGCAGCAGAGGACGGCTGGGTCTGCTGAGCACACGGCAGGGTGCGGTTCCTGTCTGAATGTGTGAAGAGCTTAGTGGTGGGTAAAGGGTGTTCCTGTGTGTTTTAGATTCTGCTCAGCAATCCTCAGATGTGGTGGTTTAATGATTCCAATCCTGAAACCGACAACCGTCAAGAAAGTCCTTCCCAGGAAAACATTGACCAAGTGAGTGACACGTCTTTGTGCCCTCAGCTTGGACAGCCTTGGGTGGGGTTGCTTGGGGTAACGCGGGTGAATCAGGCCGCAGGACTGGGGGAGTCCGTGCTGAAACCTTGGCTCCCAGGCTCCAGGTGTAACCTTCCACCTCAGAGGCCACCCACGCAGCAACAGAGGGCAGGGGAGGCCTCCTTGGAAAGCAGGAAATCTGGGGAAGTGTCAGGAAGCTCTCTTTAGGTTTGCCTCCTTTTCCTATGCACCGCTGTTTACATCAGTCCCATTTATCTGCCTGTGACCTAAAAGGATGTCACTGTGACCTGTGAAACCCATCCAGCTTTGTGTCCCAAGTGACAACTCTGTCCACATTTGTCCCCCCACACGCATTAGCATGCCTGACCTCACGGTGCTCGTGGTGAGACTGGCGTGGCGCCTTGCTCTCAGCCCGAGGTCACTGCCTGTCCCGAGATGGCTGCTTACTGACGCACCTGACTCGAGTCTTCCAAGCCCCCCTTCCAGGTTGCTCCACGCTCCCGTTGCACAGAAGCATGACTTGTGCCGAAAGGGCCATGGTGCGCATGCCGGGAGCTCTTAAATATGAGAGCCGGCTGTCTGCTCGTTGTGGGTGATGGGGGTGGCCGAGGCTGTGACCCTGCCCTCTCCCCTAGTTGGTGTACATGGGTTTTGATGCACTTGTGGCCGAAGCTGCGCTGAGAGTGTTCAGAGGCAACGTCCAGCTGGCTGCCCAGACCCTTGCTCACAACGGAGGAAGCCTGCCCCCCGACCTGCCGCTGTCGCCGGAAGACTCTTTGTCTCCGCCAGCCACATCCCCTTCTGACTCTGCAGGTAGGTCTGAGGTCTCTGAGGGCCACGTTGACAGCAAAGTGTCTTCAGAAGCCAACAGATGGGGCTGGTACCCTAGGCCACGTCAGACATGGAGACTGAGAGGGGCGTCCCCTGACGTCGCTGGGCTGGCCGCCTGGACAGTGTGGCCAGCAGGAGGCACAGTCTGAGGTTGACTGTGGTTGTGCAGTGTCCCCAGGACAATCCTCACATAATTCACTTACTCCCGCGGTATTTTATTGTAGGAACCTCTAGTGCCTCAACAGACGAAGACATGGAGACAGAGGCCGTCAATGAGATACTGGAAGACATTCCGGAGCATGAGGAAGACTATCTTGACTCAACTCTGGAAGACGAAGAAATGATTATTGCAGAGTACCTATCCTATGTAGAAAATATGAAGTCAGCAACAAAGAAAAACTAAATAATGAACAGAAATAGTGCTAATTTTCTGCTTATAAATGCTATCACTATGAAAAGGCGAATGCAGCTCTTTCTGTTCTTACTTTTTATCTGAATTGCAAGTTCCTCTTTGGGTGTAGGAGGGGGCGGGCAGGGGACAAGGCCAGGAGGGGTCCCAGGGCCTTCATGCGTGGTCTCGGGGAAGAAGCTTCCTCTGGCCTGGTGTAGGTCGTTCCATCTGCCTCCCGGGTCTGCGTCCCTAACCCCTTCCCTAGCTTGGTGTTCTACCCTGAAATGGGAAGGAACAGAGGTCCCGCAGAACAGGGATCCTGGGGAAGGTGTCCAGGGCAGGGTCCTGGGAAGGGCATCCCGACCACTTCCTCTCCAGCTGTGGCTCCATCTGCCCGGCTTGCCTGCCTCATGCACCCACTGCCCATGGCCTTCCTGCTTCCCACGCTGCCATCTCTGCCAGGGTGCCCCATGGGTTCCTGTGCCACCCTTCCCCCACCCCTCAAATCAGCCTTTAAGTCTTCTTCCAAGTGCTGTGGGGCATAGTGATGAGGCGCTGGCCTTGGGGGCCACACCAGGTCGCAGCAGACGCCTTCAGCCTGGGGCGCCAGTGTTTTATGCACTTAGTTCAGTAAAACACGCCCCGGAAATTCAAGATTGTCAGACTTTATATATGTTCAGCATTCCTCATTACAGAAATCTTTTACTGAATGGGAAAGGTTTAAATGCTAACCAAAGCAATTTATTTTTAATTAATATTTGTAGACGCTGTGCTGTCATACTGAACTCACTGCTAGCTAAGAGATCTATCAGAGGCTTAGATATATTTTCTCCAGGTTTTTGTGGGGGTTTTTTGTTGTTCTATCCATGTGACAGAGGCTCTTTCTAAAAGTATGTAGTTCGCTGTGTGTCGGCTCCAGCAGTAACCATCCTCACTGCGCCACGTACTCCTCTGTAGATGTGCACCCAGTGGGGGCTCCTTCCAGCCCCAAGACTGCAGCAGCAGCCAGATGCCGAGTGGATTGAGTTCCAGGTGCATCCAAGACTTTTCCTCCCTTCCAGAAGGCACTGACTGAAGACGGATGGGTCATGTGGGACCGGCTGAAATGCTCTAACCTTTTCATAAAGCGTGGGTGGTCCAGTTTGAACTGATGGGAAACTTCTTGTCATTCTTCTTAAATGGATGATACTGATGGAAATAAAAGGTGGAAAATATATTCAAAAGTTGTCACCCAGACTTTACAGTAATTGACTCAGCCTCCCCAGCTGCAGGTGTGGAAAGCGTCTGGGTGACTAGTGCTTCATCGTGATTGCAAGATGTTTGTTTCCAGTGAGTTTTGTGAGGAGATGGAAGGATGACCTCAGAGGCAGCAGAGGGCACCTGCTGTGAAAGATGCCACATGCCAAGTGGGGCTGGGGTGGATCCTGGGCAGGGGACTGAAATCCACCTATCAGGGTTTGCCTCAGAAGTGCCTGGTGAGCTGAGGTGACGTGAAGTCTCAGCCTCATTTGACACAATGCCACACTTGGATTTGGGGCCTGAATTGAAGCTTTTTGCTAGCAAGTCGCTGTCCTGAGCTTGGTTCAGGCGTGTCTTCTAGCTTCCCAGCTGTTTTTAGCCATCATAGAAGCAGTGACACACCAGCAGGCCCCAAAACTCTTCCCTGTCTTGTGAAGAGCGAGCTGCACAGGAAGCCGGTTGTGGGGGCAGTTCTGGGCATGCGCTATATCCAGGACGGGCTGCCCTGCAGGCATGGAGACTCGGGCCAGGCCTGCTGTACCTACAACTGACCCTGTGGAACTGGACAGGTGGTGGCGGAGGGGGCAGGAGGGTGCTGAGGCTGGAGGAGGAGAGACTGTTGCAGAGGAGGGGGCCTGGGAGGGTTCTCCTTGGGAAGTCAAAGGAAAAAGAACATTCTAGCTGTGGGACAAAGAACAGTCTAGATGTGGGACAAATGAGATAGTATTTGGGGCAGGACAGTCTGAGTGTGACATGTTCATGGCTGCCAGAAGGTGTGAGTTGTGGGGAGAAGAATGGCGGCGGATGGTATGATTGCTGATCACAGTGGGGAGGCTGGATGCCACTAGAGGAGCAGGAGTAGGCAGGGGCGTGTGGCAGGCAGGTGAGGGCAGCCCATGCCAGCATGATGGTGTGCACAACTGGTTAGGTGTCCTTGATGCTGATCACTGCCCTACCGTGTCCCTGTGTTCCTGCCCATATGTCCTATGGGTAGCTCCTGTCCTTCCTCTCTTAGCCAACTCAATCAATTTATCAAAAGCAGACACCTCGTTTCTTCGTTCATAGCAAGGCGACAGTGGTGTGGCTGGAAGGGGACCAGGCCTGGGTTCAGGAGATCAGAGTCTCTCACTCACCATGTCTCTCTGGCTCTCAGAAACCAGAGAGAGAATGGACATCTGGCTGTCTTTATGTCCTCAGCATCTCGCAAAGCTCTCTGTGCGGTGGGAGTAAAAATTACCCCAATGTGTGTTGCTATAAAAATGCTGAGTGAGTGCAGCGCCCGTGATTTGGGTCCGCACCCCATTTGGTTTCTCTGGATGGCTTGATGCGTGCTCCATTCTCTGATGTGGTTGGATAAGGTGGGGACTGGAGCTGACATATCAGTGAGGGGCTGCTCAGGCCAGAGTGCGGCATCACCAAGCAACAGTGTCTTCGGCAGGCAGGAGTCAGTGCCAGCGTCTGCACAGGCTCAGGGCCGGCCGGCAGCACTGCCCGCAGGCAGCACTCAAGGCGGTTCTCTGGCCTGCACCTCCGGAACCGTCCCTTCAGCACGATGGAAAGCTCCTCTCTGGTAGACACGCCCCTTGCGGCAGCCACAGGCCCCGGTGGTTCCGGGTCGCAGCAAGACCTGGCACAAGACCTAACACAAGACCCCAGGTCTGTGTGTGCTTAAGTCTCACCCAGAGAACAGTGCGTGGTGCCGTTTCTACGGCTTCTCCTGCACCGATCTGCTTGCCTCCCAACCAGCCCTTTTTCCTGGGGTGGGGGTCGGGGTCGCTTTGGTTCCCAGGGTTTGGAGGTTTGGCCTACAGGAGTTACAGCGCCTGCGTCCCTTCCTTCCTACTGCCCACAGTGCAATCCCTACCTGTTCATCCGGGCGAGGGTGGACCCGTCCATCAGGCCTGGCAGGTGAGCCCTGGCGGCCCTGGCCCTCTGATGAAGTATTTTCTGCATTAACACTACGAAGTGCACGCTGCTCTACCTGAAAGGGCTGCTCCACTTGAAGGGGCTGCTCCTGCAGCAGATGCTTCTCTCTGCAGCGAGATGATGAGCTCTTCACGGCAGACACTGTCACCTGCAGCTTCTCTCCTGGCACCTGGGCCAACCGGGGCACATGGATGCAGAAAGCGGCACCACCAAGGGGCTGAAGAGCGCCCCCTCCAGGTGCTGTGAAGGGTGCTGAGGGGCCTCCTGCAGGGCCTCTCGGCAGACTGAGCCCCACTGGCCCCTTGAGCCCCTGCGCACAGGGCTCCCCTTGGGTGCTCGGTGGCTCTGGCGTGTGTGTTGCACCTCCCAGCATCAGGCACTGCCCTGACTCCTGTGCACGAGCCCGGGGATGGGGCTGCTGCCCGTCCCTTCCCCCTCCCCCCACTCCAGGCCCTGAAGGAACTTCCCAGATTCATGCCAGAAAATGATGAGAGCTCCCAAGCGGGGTCCCCGCTGTCACCTGCACAGGCTAAAGAGCCGCTCCCTTGCTCCCTGGCCTCTTCCAAGTCCACTCCCTGCACCAGTGACACTGGCGGCAGCCCCGCATCTCCACAAGTCACCCCCAAAGCTGCCCAGGCCGGTGTGAGAGGCAGAGGGCAGGAGGCCCGCCGCCCTGGGTTCCTGGAATCTCAAGATCCGAAAGGAAGCTAAGACTCAGTTTGCAAAACAAAAAGAGGACACAGGCGTACTTTGAACTTTTAGGCTGTGTATTTTAGTTCCCCCCAAGGCCCTCGAGACAGACAATTTGCCAAAATAACCAGATTCAGTGGCTTCTGTAAAGTCACTTCCTCTCAGCAGGAAAGGCCCTGTTTCCTGGGGCTGGGGGAGCTGGGGCAGTCCGCCTGCAGCCCCTAAGGTGGGAGGGTCCCTGAGACTAGGCCTTTCGCCAGGTCAGGGATGGGGGAGGGCGGGCAGGAGTCACCCTAAAAGGGAAAAGAGGGCGGTCCCGAGGGCGAGCACTCCCGCTCCCAGCGCCTCCTGGCCACCAAAGAAAAACCAGACGCCTGCGCCGGGCTCTCCTCCCGCCTGGGCTTCCTCGCTCCTCCCTGGCCATCGGGCGCCACAGCCGCGGGGAGCAGGGCAGGGCGCTCTGGGAGCCGATGGGCGTCTGGGCTGGCGTCGGCAGGGCCCCCGCGGGGTCAGGCCGGCTGCAGGGGCGTGGCGGCGCAGCCCACCTTGTTGCTGAAGAGGCGTGAGAGGCTGCGCGTGGGCGGAGGGGGCCGCGGGGCACCTCGGAGCCCGCGCACGTCCCAGAGGCGCAGGGCGCCGTCGTGCGAGGCGGTGTAGAGCACCTGGCCGTGCACCTGCGGGCACAGGGGCGGGCGTCACTGGCAAGGCGGTAGGCGGGGGGACGCGGCCGCCGGCATGGATGGATCTGGGCAGGGCACCTTCCCTCCCACGGGCAGCGGCCCTGAGCAAGGCGGAGGGACCTACCTGGATGCAGTTGATGATGAATGTGTGGCCCCGGAACACCCTCCGCAGCTCTCCAGACTGCGCGTCGAAGGCCCGGGCGCAAGCGTCCCCGCTGCCCGTGAACACTGCGGACACACAGGGCGCGCTGGGCCTTCCTCCTTCCCTCCCTCCCTGCCCGGCCCCCCGCAGGCAGGGATGGGGCGGTGAGAGCGTGACCTAGGGCGGCGAGAGTGTGACCTGGGGCATCTCCGGGACTCCGCCCCACGGGGGTATCCTGAGGCTCATATGGGAAGTGGACAGCGCCCCTCCAGAGAAACAGGGATCCCCACAGTTATTGGGCTCCACCCTGCAGATGCCTGCGCGCCAGCTAGCCCTGCCCCTGCTGAACACCGCCCGGGCCCAGTCCCCACTCCGCGGTTTGGTGAAGTTGGTTCCCGTGCCTGGTTGGGAAGACCCTGCCTGGGGATAACTGTAAGGTCCTCAAGTCGCGTCCGCCCACCTTCCGCTGCGTCGCAGCCTTATCCTCCCATCCTCAGTAATGGATCAGCCCCCAAATCAAAGCCCAGTCCTCTGGGATTCATGATCACGCAACCCCAGGACCCCTAGCAGGGGCGAGCCTCCGCCCTCAGTCTGTCTCCTCCCCCAGGTGGCTCTCTCTCCCTGGGGTTTTTTCCTAAGAACTTAGTCCAATCGTTTTCCAACAGCAGCCTGCATCTGTCACCTGGAGGCTTAGCCACAGAGCATGGGGCCGCATCCCAGAATCTGTTTTAGCAGACGGGGCCTGAGAATCTGCATTTCTAGCCAGTTTTAAGTGACAAGCTGCTGCTAGTCAGGAAGCCACACTGAGGATGTGGACTAGAAGAACTCACTTGGCCTAGGCTGGGCTCTCTGAAGCCAACCCTGTTGCTAGGACTTGAGGCAGACAGTACACCTGGCAGACGTCCCAGGAAACGCTCACAGGGAAATGGGAGGTGGAGAGGGAGGGAGGAAGTCCTGGTCTGTCAATGAGCAGGTAACTACGGTGGGCAGCTAGGGCGCAAGCCTGCCTGGGACCTTGGGGAGAAGGGGCAGGACCACCTGGGGGTAAGGGTGCTGGGCTACCTATCTGAGGGTGCTCTGTGGGTACTTGTTCCCCAGCCTTCTTTTTTTTTTTTTTTGAGACAGGGAGACAGGATCTCACTCTGTTGCCCAGGCTGGAGTGTAGTGGTGCGATCATAGCTCAGTTAACCTTGAACTCCTGGGCTCAAATGATCCTCCCGCTTCAGCCTCCTGAACAGCTGGGACCACAGACATGCACCACTACACCCAGCTAATTAAAAAAAAAAATGGGCGGCTGGGCGCAGTGGCTCACGCCTGTAATCTCAGCACTTTGGGAGGCTGAAGCTGGCGGAGCAGATCACAAGATCAGGTTTCAGACCAGCCTGGCCAACACAGTGAAACCCCGTCTATACTAAAAATACAAAAATTAGCTGGGTGTGGTTGGCACACACCTGTAGTCCCAGTTACTCGGGAGGCTGAGGCAGGAGAATCACTTGAACCTGGGAAGTAGAGGTTGCAGTGAGCCTAGACTGCACCACTGCACTCCAGCCTGGGCAACAGAGCAAGACTCGGTCTCAAAAAAAAAAAAAAAAAAAAAGTTTATAGAGACAGGGTCTTGCTATGTTGCTCAGGCTGGTCTCGAACTACTGAGTTCAAGCGATCCTCCCACCTTGGCTTCCCAAAGTGCTGGGATTACAAGCATGAGCCACGGTGCCCAGCCTGTTCCAGCCTTTCTTTAAAAAACTAGAGAGTGAATGGCCCCAGAGGAGAAGTTTCGTCTCTGGGTCTCTTTCTAGCCCCTTTCTGCCTTCCCCCCACAAACTCAGAGACAAATGGACATGGCCTGGAAAACCCAGTGTGGCTGCTGAGCTCCCCGTGGGTGGGAAGAGGATCAAAAACAAAGTCTGGTCATCCCATAGCCTTGCTGGCCAAGACCAAGAACCGAGATGGGCAACAGTGGGCTGCAGGCTCCGCTTTCCCTGCAGCCTCCATGCCCCAGCTGCATGGGGAGGTGTTCTAGGCGGCCACCCGCCAGAGCTTTTGAAAGTAGAACCTTCGAAAGTAGAACCTTCCTCGTGTTCAATTAGAGGACCCAGACTTGGGAGTAGAGCCGTAACCACACTTCCAAGCTTGGACACAGGAACAAACGAAAAATAATTTTTCCCTGTCAGACACCTGAATCCTGAGGGCATGTCAGGATCTATTTTCAGATATCTGCATTCTATCTTCCTCCAACACCTTTGCTGTGAGGTCAACTTGAATATTCCACTGTGACTCTTCCCCCACCCCGTCTCCTCCCTCCCAGAGGCAGAGCCAAATGGCCCGGGTGTGTGACAATTTGAGACCTGTAGGACAGACAGCTCATTGCCTGTTCAACAAGCCATTTTGCCCTTCTTTCTTTCCAAAATAACCCTGATTCCATCTTGGCATCAAATTCCTCAAATAAAAGACTTTATGATTCACTATCTCTTGCAGACAGAACGGTGACAGAGAGGTATGTGGAAGCCCTTGGATGAAGCTTCCAGGAAAGATCTTAAAGGGACCAACTCAGCTAGAAGACGCATCCTTTCACCCTTCCATCCTCTCTAGAAGACGCGTCCTTTCACCCTTCCATCCTCTCTAGAAGACGCGTCCTTTCACCCTTCCATCCTCTCTCCCTTCCTGCCTAAAACATGACACGATGGCAGACACTGTAGCAGCTATCTTGAATCATGAGGCTTCTTTAAAGATAGAAGGTCTGTGCTAAGGATGACGAAGCAGAGTGACAGAAGAAAGTTGGGTGCCTGATTACTTTGTGGAGCCACTCATTCCAGCCTAGACCATCAGCCTCTGAAATTCTTCTACCTGAGAGAAAATAAACCACTACCTCATTGGAACCACAGCTACCTAGATTTTCTCTTCCCTGCATACAAATCCTAAGGCCAAGTGAGGCCAAACCCATGTGGTCCTCGAGGTGGCTGGATTAAGGGGTACCCACTGTCTCACTTGGAAAATTAAGATGTACCTTTTGGGACGTGCTTTTGAGCCGAGACCCTCCCAGCAGTCCAGTCTCCCAGGCTGTCCTGGAGAAAGGTGGGGAGGAACCACCAAACCCTTATTTGGACCTTCTCTGCAAACCAGCTGCAGGTATGGGTGTGTGGAGAAGGACGGGGCACTGCCATTGGACATTGATGATTGGCAGCCGAGGCTCAATGAGGGAAAATCGCATAGGAAGTAAAGAAGCAGGGAGGAGAAGCCAGGCTGGGGTGGCGCGGGTCGTGCCGGGCCAAGTCACTTACAGGTGCCCGCGTGGTACTTGAGGGCGCTCACGTTGCGTCTGTGGGCCGTGAACGTGCGCACACACTCCCCCGTGTCTACCAGCCAGCACTTGACGGTCCTGTCCGCGCTGCCAGAGTACACGAATCGGTTCACCAGCTGCGAGGAGGAGCAGGGAGGGTTGGCAGCTGGGGCAGCTCGGAAGCACCCCAGATTTCTCCCTCTATAGGGGGGGAAGGGGTGTGTACAGGTCTCAATGGTGAAACCGTGGGTGAGCCTGGAATGGCCCCGCCACAGGCCCCACCAGACTGCCCGCTTCAGCACCCAAAAGCAGGCGGCTCCTCCTGCCCCATGGGACAGCCAGTGCTCCGACAGGGCTGGCCGCTCAGCCCCACACTGCCCTGAGCCAGTCCCTGGCACTCTGCCCCTCAGCTGCTTCCCCTGAGGATTAGGATGTGGACTGCCCCTTCCTCCAGGGGGTGTGTGGGGTACAGGCACTTAACTGCTTGCTCTTGCTGGCTGAGGAAAGGGCTTCCGGAGAAGGGCTTTCACATGCTTCAGACGGACAGACAGGACAGAGAAAGCCCTGAGCGAGGGTGTGAGGGAGACTTCTGCCAGGACTGGAGCTGACAGCTGGGGGCTGTCACGGGGTCTCTGCTCCCCCTGCTCATGGGGCTCACAGCGAGAAGAGGGCCTAGGAGACAGGTTCACCCCAGCTGTCTGATGCTGCTGTTTCACAGGAAGCACAGAAAGGGCCCAGGAGACAAGGGAAGAGGCCCTCGCCAAGATGGACAGGAGTAGCAGCCCCAGGGAAGTGCAGAAACTATTAAAAATAATTCTGTAAATTTCCCTAGACTAAACACCACCCAGCCAAGAGCATTCCCAGCCAGCACCTGGTCAGCAGAGTCACAGACGAGAAGGCAAGGGCGGAGAGGCAGGCTCCACAGCTGCAGTGACCTGGCGCGATGGCACAGGAGACAGGCGCAGGCTTCATGCCCCAGAGAGGCCACCTGCCACCACTGCTGGGGCCCAGGAACCAGGAGTCAGAAGCAGGTCAGGCACGCAGTGCGCTTCCCTTGTGGTCAGCAGGCAGTGGGCCCACTGGCAGGCAGGCAGTCCACGCTGGCCACTAGCATCCCGAACATGTCCCTCCTAACTTTCCCCTCACAACCACGCTCTGGGTCACTTTCCGCTGTCGGTCCCCCATATTATCTCCCTGTTCAAATCGCAGAGGAAAGGGCTTCCACGACCCAGGCCACAGCCCAGGTCAAAGGAGTTAACTGGCCTTGGGCCAATCACTGTGGCCAGAGAGGGCAGTGAAACCACAAGGAGCACAGCGTGGCCTCTGGGAGGCAGAGGCTGTGGGTGCTTCCTGTGGACAGTGGCCTGCCCTCCCTCAGGCCCTGCGCTGAAGCCCTGCTGGGGTTATGGTGGGCCCCAGCCCAGGTGGCCTCCCTAACTGGATGGTCCCCTCCCCAAGGACAGGGATGTGTGTGACTGCCCACCTGCCCATGTCAGCTTTGGCAGGGTTCCAGAACATTCCTGCACTCAGACCTCAGCCGTCTGCACCACCCAGGAGCACAGTTCCTGCCAGTAACGTGGACAGCAGCAGGAAGGACAAATGGACCTTCTTGAGCCTGCCAGGCACACAGTCAGCCGCTCACAGTCTTCGACAGCCCCTCCGCTTCCTGAGAAAGACCACCCCTCCCCGCCTGGTGCCCGGAGGCCCTGCAGGGCCTGGCTTCCCTGGCCCTACCTTCTGGTTTCCACTCCACACACCTGTGTCCACACTGCTGCCCCAGGACACCTGGGCACGTGCCTTCCTCCCAGGGTTCCTACAAGTCCTCCTTGCCCAGAAAGCCCTTGTACCGTGATCCTCCCTTTTCCTTCACGGGCAAGTGGAAGCCCAGGACCCCTCTTCGCACCACCCCCGGCCCGCGCCGTGTCTGCATCCTGGAGGCCAGGCTGACCACCGCCAGCGCAGCATTTCCTGGCCATCTCCCCACCACGTGGCCGGCTCCAGGGCCAGCCAGGCTCCCTGTCCTCGAGTCCCAGTCAGTCACAGAGCCTCTCGGACTCTAATGAGAGGAGTGGGCAAGGGCGGAACGTTTCAGACAGAGACCCCCAAGGACTGGAGAGCTTCGCAGCCCCACACCTCTGTGCTGCTCAGCCCCTGCACCAGGGAGGCTCGCTGGGTGTCCAGGGCGGGAGAGGACAAAGGGAAGGCCCTCCTGCTGTCTGGCAGCTGGCCCTCACCACACCGGGCCTGTGAGCACTGTGTTTAGCCCTCCCAGAAGCACCCTGCCGAGCACAAGCCAGAGCCACACAGGCCGAGGGGGCGCTCCCAGCCCCAGGGTCTTCAGCCTGTGGAGGCCTTGCTGTTCCCACTAGCTGGTTTCCTAACAGGACAGGGAGAGCGAGGTGGCCCAGGGAGGCCTGAGCCAAGGGGGAAGGCAGGATGATACTGAGGGCTCCTCGCAGCCACGGTGGCTCTGAGGAGTTTCCCGGCGATGAGATCCAACCAAGCAGAAGCAGGAGAGGGCACCGGCCTGGGGCTCCACTGCTGAGGACACAGATGCGGGCCTCCAGCTCCCCGGGTTCCAAGGGAGCCCAGCAGGCGTGGGAGGAGGCCGCACAGGGCCTGGCAGGCTCCAGAGCAGCAGATCCTCCGAGATCCTCCTCCCAAGCAAGAGTGTCGGGGGACGCGCCACCCGCCTGGTGACAGCCCTGCACACGCTGTGGTGCTCACAGGCACGGGGCTCACAGATGCACAGTCTTGGGTTCAAATCCTGCCTCCACCCCTCAGCAGCTATGAGACGTGGCCAAATTACTCGTCTTCTCCAAGCTTCCACTGTCTCATGTGCAACATGAGAAACAAGGACCTCCCGCTAAGGAGGCCACAAGGGCTGATGCACTGCTGTGCGCGCGCACACAGCCCAGGGTCTGAACATGGTAACCCCTGCCCATCCCTAAAATGCAGGTGCAGTCTCTGCCCGCCAGCTCCTCGGGATTGGGTGAGACTCATGAACTGGCACCACAGGGCTTTTGCAGCCAGAGACTGCCCCACAACATCCTTGCTGTGGTCCCCACCAGCCACAGCCTCAGGCTCACGGAAGGATCGGGGAGGTCTTTCTTTTCTCTGGCTGGATTTGAAATGCTTCGTTTCTTTAAAATCACAATGTTGCTATCTGATTTCAAAAGTGGGTGCCTAGGTGTCTGTTTTAGTTACTTTTTACAATTTACATTTGAAATGTTTTATAACTAAAATGTTTAAAACATCCCTGTAAAACCATGAAGGGACAGGGCACAGGCTCTCTCTCTCCTCCTTTACAAGGACCCCTGGTCAAGCCCAGAACCTGGGCGATCCCTCAAAGAGCAGGGGTGAGGCCGCCCTGCAGCGCAGGGGCCACCACCGACAGGGTGCCTCCTGGCTTTTTGACCTTGGGTTTGTCACTTAGAAGCAGCTCCTCACACCACCTCTAGCCCAACCATCTCCAAAGGAGGCCTGTGTGCTCCTGGCTTTGTCTCTACCTGCTTCTGGGACCCCTGAGGTCAGTGGGCTCAACCCTGCATGCAATCCTGTAAAAAGCGAGGGAGGCAGAGGCCCCTCTGGGCATGGTGGTTTCTTGGGACCTCACCTCTGCTCTTGGCCAACTTGGAGGGGGCCACAGGCTCCAGGGAAGCAAGGAGGATGCTTTGTGGCCACCTGGTCCCCAGGCTGACAGTAGGAGGCGGGGTATATGAAGCTACGGTCTGAATGTCGGTACCCCCCAAATTCATGCTGGAACTTAACCCCCGCTGTGACAGCATTAGGAAGTAAAGTGAACTTAACTCCCCCTGTGAAAGCATTAGGAAGTGAAGTGGTCATGAGGGCCCCGCCTCATAAATGGGATGAGTTCCCTTTTATAAAAGGGCTGGAGGGAGCTTGTCTGTCCCTTCATCCAAGATGAAGGATGTGGCAAGAGCAGCCGCCACCAGACATAGAATGTGCTGGCACCTTGACCTTGGATTTCCCAGCCTCTGAAACAGTGAGAAATACATTTCTATTACTTATAAATTACCCAGTCAAAGGTGTTCTGCACTTTTTGTTTGTTTGTTTTGTTTTGTTTTTGAGATGAGGTTTCTCCATATTGCCTAGGCTGGTCTTGGAACTCAGGTCTCAGGTGATCCACCCACCTCAGCCTCCCAAAGTGCTGGGATAACAGGCGTGAGCCACCGTGCCTGGCCCTCCAGTCCAAGGTATTTTGTTATAGGAGCTGCAATGGACCAAGACTCTGTGAAACCGCACAGTGTCCTCTTTTCCTCCCCAGCCTCTGGAAAGGCTATCCATGTGTTTATCTCTACAAACCAAAGAAGCCTGACCTGTGTGATGTGGGTGGTGCAGACACCACAGCTCGGTCAAATGCACCATCACCGGGCGGCTCACTCAGGTCCCAGCAGACGCCCCACACTTGGCCCACCAGGAAACCTCAGCCACTCTCTCCCTTGCCTCTTGACTTGCAAGCACACACGCTTCTTCAGCAAAACGATTTCAGAGGTGACACACTGGGGCTCGCAAAGCCACTGTGGGGGCCCAGGACTCTCAAGGGCACCTGGAAGGAATTTGCCCGCTCCTCCCTGCACGGGGCAGGGGGCACTCACCAGGCCTGTATGCACAGGAGACGGATGCCTGGAGGTGAGCATGAGGCCTCTCTCATTTGGAGGTAGGGGAAGGAGATAAGGTGTCATAGACCACAGGTCAGTGACCCCGACTGCACGCCGAGAGCAGAGAAAAGCAACAAGCAGGTCTGTGCTTCACTCTCAGATGGCAACGGTGCCACCTGCTTCACAGGGTTTCTGGGCTGTGGTGGAGGAGCCACACAGACCTGTGCGCAGGTGCCACGTTCCTGAGAGCAGTTTGTGGATGGGGGTGTCGGTGAGCCACGCTGGCTGAATGCATAATCTCCAGCCCAGCAGAGCACTGAGGCAGAGTGAGGGTCCCAGGCAGGCCACGGGGCAGGAGCCGCAAAAGGATTGAAATGCAAGAGCGTGTGGGGTGTAATGGCCAGCCCTGGTGCCACGAACCAAGGGACAGTCAGAGCTGGGGGGGACGGAGCACTCGCAGGGCCAGGCTGTGGAGCAGGGAAGGAGCTAGAGGGGAGGAGATGAAAAGTCCCCGG